GTGAGAACTGAATTGTATCCAAACGAGTGCTAATCTATTAATTACTATTTTAGAGTAAGAATAATACAAAGCCATTGGAACTGAAAGAATCGACACAATGTGGTGTCTATGTTAAGGACTTGTCCTGTTATGTAGTCAACAGTGTCTCAGATTTGGATAAATTGCGAAAAATGGGTGAAAAGCATAAAGTGATGGCCTCCACTAATATGAACAAAGAGTCGAGTCGTTCACACACTATATTCACCATAACTATAGAAATGATTATCGGAACCGATTCCAAGTCTTCATCCTTAAGAGTGGGAAAATTCAATTTAGTAGATTTGGCCGGTTCTGAGAGACAGTCCAAGACTGGAACCACTGGCGATCGGCTCAAAGAGGCGGCAAAAATTAATTTATCGCTCACTTCCTTATCACTTGTGATCGCAGCCCTTACCGACTCTAAGGCCACTCATATTCCTTATCGGTATCTCTTATGTTATTTTTAATGATTTACTTTTCTATATAATTGCAATTTTTGAGTAGTCTTCTTATTCTCATTGAATTATTTTGAAAATTTCATCAGAAACTCAAAACTAACTCGAATTTTATCCGATTCTTTGGGTGGCAATTCTAAAACACTACTCATTGCTTGTATTGGTATGATTGTTCAATTATGCAAATATATATTCATTACTCAAATGCTGAGTTTAATTCTGTGTTCATGAAAGGACCGGCAAAAGTGAATATAGAGGAGAGTGTGAGTACATTGAGGTTTGCCTCCACTACTAAACACATCAAAAACAAAGCCGTCATCAATGAAGACGCAAAGGATGCTCTTCTGAGACGTTTTCAGCAGCAAATCGATGAACTCAGACATCAACTCGAGTTGGAAGCAGAGGAAAATGAAGCCAACGGCGACTCACTTATCATTAGAAGTAATGCCTAATTATATGAAATGTTAAACATTTAAAATAATATTCGACGGAATATTCTCGTTGTGTTAAATGAAAGGTGAAGCAAACGGCACAATGGGTGCAATGATTCCGAATGAGATTCTTGAAAAACTCAAGAGTTTAGAGAACAAGATATGTGTTGGCGGAGAGAATCTCATAGAAAAGGCTGAACTACAGCAACAACTGATCGCCAAAAGTGAGGCCGAATTACAGGAGCGACGAAACAAAGAGAAAGAATTGCAGACAACTCTTGAGATGAAACAGAAGGAGTTCCTCGAAATGGAAGACTCTTACGGCACACTTCAAGAGGAGGTGAACGCACTCAATAAAAAACTCAAAAAGGTATTCACGAGCTGATCATTTTGGGAGGACAGCTATTTTTAGATCGTATCGCACTTTAAACGCTTATTATTTAACCACATTTCAGGCGTTTTATTACTTAAAAGACGCAAAAAGCGAATTAAATGACATTCAGTCTGAATATGAGAAACTTCACGAAGACTTACTCGACTCCATACGTACTGCCAATAAAGAGATTAAACTCGCAAACTGTCTCATCAGTCATTACATTCCGGGTATTATATCTAACTTTTCTTACTATGCAATGAATATAAATATTTTTCTTAATTTGTAAATAATTTCTATGCAAAATTGATAAAATTAAAACAGACTCTCAGCATGAAGTCATACAAAATGCGTCCAAATATAATGAATTGGTTGGCGAGTGGCAGCTCAGGTGTATCGCTTACACCGGCAATAATATGCAACAGGTATTGAATTGAATTTCTCTTTGATTTCTAAGCAGAAATAGTTTGTTTGAAATATTAAAATAATATTTTTGTGTTTATAACTAATGTGTGAAATCTCGACAATTATCTAAAATGATTGTTCCTTTTAAATAGAAAACGAGTGATAAAAATGTAATTCAATCGCAAAACTGCTTGGATTTGCAGAATAAATATTTAACTTATGGTAAATATTGATTCAAAGTATGAAACTATTATGATTATAATGTATAATAATATTATTTTTAATATTAATTCTCAATAAATCTCACTAATTTTATAGCAATAAAATAAAAATCTTGCATAATACCTATTTATGACTTATTTCTTTCTATTTACGGAATATTCTATGCCTTATGCTTAAAATTAATTCATTTTTTACTCAAAACTTAAGAATAAATCAAATACTGTATAAATCTGTCATAATCTATATTATAATCTAATCTATATATCCGACTCTTATTGTTCAGATTCTGATTATTTTTGAAATGCTATGAATAATATTATAAAAATTAGAAAATCACGAGAGTTTGACCCAAAATGAGTGAATTCTCGTTCATTTTGAGACCAATTCATGCGATTTTTTATTGTTAAAGAAATCGTATGAAATGAAGTTTAAAAATTTGAAATCAATCCAAATTCAAACAGATTATCAATAAAAGCAGTTTCAGACTTAACTCTTCGACAAAGACTTGTTTGAAGTTTAAACACAACTGATTTCGACAGACAGACAGACAGCACACTCATCGGTAAATAGTAAGCCATCGATATGGGCGAGACATACCTAAAGCAAGTGATAGACAAACCAGTATCCGAGGACGGGAGGGGCCCGGGAGTGGTGTTCGCGGCATCGTGTGTACAGGGATGGCGGTCGGCTCAAGAGGACGCACACCTATGTCTGCCCTCTTTCGACAAGAACGCCAGTCTGTGGGCTGTGTTCGACGGACATAACGGCGCCGAAGTGGCCATCTTTGCCGCCAAACGTCTCCCAAAGATACTGAAAACTAATGCCAACTATAAGGGCGGTCGCTATGAGTTGGCCCTCCAGGAGGCGTTC